GAAGCCACAGTAAAAGGAAGAAATGCACGCTTGCTGACTGAAAATCTTGAAGTGTAGGTAAATAGACATATATGTCATAACCATTGTTCATTTTGCAAGTGCTATATAATATCTTTCACCATATTGCCATACCACTATTTGTCCCTAACTATCATATCCCAAAAACCAAAACTTCTAGTTAAGGAATTAACAATGTAAAAAGCACTTCAGCCAAAGAGCACAAGCAATTGCAGTCATATAAGATCCCAATCACATGTTTAACCACTTCAGATCTATTCAAGCAATTGTTGAACAATTAATCAGGTGAGAACCAGCAATTGCAGCCATGTAAGGTCCCAATCACACTTTTAACCATACTCAGATCTATTCAAGCAATTGTTGAGCAATTATTAATCAGGTCTTCACTGAGAAAAACCTGAAAGAGAAACTAGCATTCTCTTGAAAACTTGCTGACATTTCTACAGCCAGGGCTCATCAAAATCAAATTAAAAAAGAAAAATAGAGTGATTGGCTAATTCAGAAAACTTCTAAACTGAAGGTATTCATAAGGGCTGGATATCTAGCTAGCTGTAATTCAATTCTCTGGTGCATTAATACAAAATCTTAGAACAGAATCCTATTACACAAAAAATTTGGCGCCAAGATGTTATATCCGTGAAGCCAAAATTTCTTAAGTCTGCAACTGAATTATAGCTTATCAGTTTGCCGCGAAGAATACTGTTAAGGAGATAGATTCATCAGCTGTCGTAATTGCGGGCACGTTATATAATCCCATTTCTTTCTGAATACAATCTGACAATCCTCTGAACACTTCTTGAATGAGAGGATCCTGTTGCAATATTCTGGTACGGACTTCCAACCCTCTCTTTCAAGAGTGATCTACTTCAGAGATTTTCCATTCTTCAAAAAATATTCCGCCAGCTTGAATTCATGTTCTTCCCCTTTAAAATTACTCATTTCTATTACCTTAAGATGCTCAATGAAAGATAGTGGAAAAGCCTGTGGAAAAACAGAACCAAATTTCTCATCTTCGCCAAAGTAGTTCTTGAATACCTGTTCATATAAAGTATATAAGGGACAGCGAAATACAAAGCAATTAACTCTTACACTAAAATACCCAACACAACTTACCTCACTAAAGATAAGCACTTCAAGGTAAGGGGAACTTTCAAATAAGTTTGATAACACCTGTAAGATCCAGCTACGAGGAAAAGAATGGCAATAAACAGGTTCAAGCTCCAGCTTGATCAAGTTTCTGAAAGTTGGCAATGCTGGTTGAGAAAAATAGAGAGCCTTCATCCATATAACAAGAAGAATTAATTAAGAACAAAGTTCCAGTTCTTCTATTAAAAATTGAAGGAAAAGCTCAGAAGCCAACCCAAATTAAAGAAGACAGAAAAGAGAAAACATACCTTTAAAATGTTCTCTGACAAATTCAGTGATTTCACATTTTGCAACCCACTAATAAACTCAAAAGCATGCTGAACACGTAAAAATAAGTCACCTAGATTTGTCACATTATGCAGAAATTCAGCTCGTACTACTGCCTTATCAATAGATACCAGGCTCTGAATTATGTGTACTTCAAGTACATGACCGTCAACGTTCAAGGACTTCAGATTTGGGGCATCTACGATAACTTTATGCTGCCCCTCGAGGGAACATACCAAAGTCTCAAGATTTTCTGACTTCACAACAACAGTGAACTCTAGTTCAACTTTTTCATTCCAACAGAGCACCAGGACTTTCAACAAGGGACTCGAGATATGAAGAACTTCGACTTCAATGCTTTCTTCACTCTCACTCGCATAGCTGAAAGGTTGCACTGTTAATATCAGGTGTTCAAGCAAAGGGCAACCTTGAAGAAACCTCTGAATAGAATCTTCATCTACCAATGTGAATCGCATCAAGTAAAGATACTTGAGATTTGGCAACCAAACAAAATCAGGAACATTCCAACCCACGTCAAGGTTTAGTGATAAAGAAACTATAGTTTCAGATGAAAAAATTCCAGGTGGAAAAAGTACAGAAAATTTCTCAGTTGTATCCATTTCAACCGAAATACGAAGTTGGTCGACACTGTAAGTAGAAATTGCAGCAGCTGCAGATATCAACAATGATTCAAAAGCCAAACGGTACCTTTCAACAAAATGCTCCACGCGGAGTCGAATCTTTCTGATTGGAGCCGTATTTCGTTGTTCAATCACTCTATTAGAGAAATGTGTAAACTGATAAAACAGTCTATCACGGTCAGAAGCATCATCATCCACACAGAAACATAAATCAATATCAGGTAGCGAAACAAAAAGATTTCTCCATCTCGTGGACAGAATTGAGGTGGCTGCAGCTTCTTTTGTCTTCAAAAGTGAAAGGATGTGGAGCAGAACACAGTCCGAAAGTGCACTCAACCTATCAATACTATCACCATCTGGGATTCTTTGCACCTTCTTTTCTGGAGGATCAGCCATCTGGGTTCTCTCTTTTTCTTTCCAAATTTCTCAATATACACAGCAGCAGCTCAGGAGAGATTGTGCAATCTTGAGGCTTAAAAGTAGAAGGGATTTCTGCTCTTTTGCAGATAGCTATGGGCATCGAAGGCATTGAATGTATAATTGGATAATAGACTGGTAAAAAGATACTAACAAAGCATTCCGAAATAGAAAAGGCATGAGTAGAAACATCAACAAAGAACCAGGTTTTCTGAAGAACAAAACCATCAATGTCGACCAAGAATCTGCTTTTTGAGGTGGGTATTTTGTTTGCAGTTAGACCATTGATGAAATCCCTCTGTTTAATCTCCTCCTTCAAGTTAAGAAATGTTTTTGCTCCCAGAACCTTGCTGCTCTAAACCTCAACGTTTCTTTCTGATTTTCCCAGCCAAGGGGGGCTTTCAGGGCCCTATCAAAAAGAGGGGGAGTTTAGGGCTCGTTTGGGCGAAGGGAGTAGAATACTATTCAGTGATAATGGAGTGTTTGGATACTCCATCATTTGAAAAATGAAATTACTATATAACACCATAATACTTTTTCTAATGTAATGTACATATAATAAACACTTTTTTGCTTTAAATAATCGTAATCTATAACTCTTCAGGTGTGAAATATACGTTTGGATTACATTTTATTTAGTGAATCTCAAGGGTACACTGATACTTTTTTTTTTTTTTTTTGTCAACACAGAGGTGTCCGGGTCAAGACCCGAAGGCGGCCCGACTAATTCCCTGCGCCTGGAGTACAGCACCACCCCAACCGCACCCAAGCATTAAGTGAGGTTCGACCCCACGACCTGCGAGTGCCGGAAGCAGCCACAGACCGCGTGATCTTGCCCCGGGGGTTTACACTGATACATAGAGTGTAAAATTTGGTGTACATAGCCAAGAATTAAGAATGTAAATGAGTTAAAGCAAGCCATTGTTTGTTTTAATAAATTTGAAATTGTATTTGAGTTTGTTTCTTTTTTTTGTTAAAGGAAACCAAACTCAAACTATTTGTTATTGAGCTAATCTTGAGTAGCGCTCAAGTGATTTGATTTTTTTTTTTTAACAAGTTAACTAAGGGAGGAAAAGGGCATCAAAATTAAGGCACTATTTGGATTGAAAGAAAGGAAAGGAAAGGACAGAAGAGGACTCTAGTGAAAAAGGATAAAAAAAAGGAGGGTAGAGAAAACCTAATTCCATAGATTATGCAACTGCACTTGTATGAAAAAGTTTAAGGAAGTGCAGAAATTAAGAAGTCGTGAATGCAAAAATTAAGAAAAATATGGTATAACGTTATGGAAAATTTGATAGAATTAAAAATCACAAACTCGTTAGTTCCATGTGTTTTATAGTATTGAATGTTTGAAAGTAAAAGATGATTATCTAATCATGTTTTGCTATTTTTCTTTGTAGCCATGAATTGTAGGCTATTATTATGCTGCTAATAATTTGGTTAGGAATAAGTTGATAAAATGATGTTTTTGTTAGATAAATTTCAAAAAATTCAAGCTAACGAGCTACTCACGAGTCAAAAATTCGAGCTCATAATTCGAGCTGCTTGCGAGTCAGAATTCGAGTTTCAACTCACGAGCCTTATCGAGTCCAGTTCGAACCTAACTTTATTTAGTCGGATCAAGCTCAAGCTCAAGCTCGAGCTCGAACTCGAGCCCACCCATTTTTAAGTCGAGCTCGGCTCGATAAGTCCAAAATTCGACTCGACTCAGCTCGTTTGCAGCCCTATTACCAAGCATCCAATAGGAATGATAAATTACCATTTTAGTTTTTTCCCTTTTTTCTTTTTCCTCGTCTTGCATATTAGAACAACTAACAAATTACTCAGAATTGCTCAAAAAAAAAAAAGAACTCTAAGATTGGGCACTGCTCAAAAAAAAGAAAGGGCCCAACAAGCAACATACTAGAAAAGTTTGCAAGGTTTTGTGCAAGCGTTGAATCTAAGAGGTCATGAATGCAGCTAATCTTAGATTCTGCCTCATGATTTGCTTCTGGTGTAATATGATATAATAAAAGAAAAAATTTGACCTTTTAACAAATGGACAAATAGCACCAAAAGAATAGCTTTGTTATTGATTTTGTAACCGAAGAAAGGAGAAAAAGGTTTGCATATTGGATACTAATTTTGCAGCTTCAAAACGAGGAGTTCCAATTACACTACACTATTTTTGCTAAAGGTCATTTCCTTCCTACTTGCAGCTGTCTTCTGGCTGCATGGTTGGATTGTTGCTGACATGGAAAGAAACAGAAGAGGTGAGGCATGGAGAATCAGAGGCAGAGAAGATCATCTATTATGTCATTCAGCTAAAAGGGATACTCCCTTCTGCCCATCTAATAAGGATGAAAGTTCCTGCAAGGCCCTTGAACAGCTGCTACCAAATTGTACACTAGCACTAAGATGGGAAAATTCTACCGAGTTCTTGAGAGGAATGATCCGCAACAGAGCTTACACTGGGCAATTATTTCATCAACAATTGTCATGTAACAAGATTCATTTAAAGCAAAAAGCAGATTGGGTAAGTATTCCATAAAAACAGAGCATGACAGTTGATATACAGGCAAGACAGCAGGTGCCTCTTGGATCCTAAACCGATTTACATCCTATCAAGATCTAGCATTTTCAAGGCAACACAGGAACACCAAAGTAGATAGGACTGCAAGCTCCAATAGGCATGCTAAAAGCCTACTTACATAATATAACATCAACAATCGTACCATGTTTCAAGATGGTAAAAACATAAATAAGCCTCCTGAAAGTACTCCAGCAGTTTCATGCAGTCCTGGATCAGTACTTTTAGCATCTGCTGGTGTGCTGATTCCTTGAAAAATCTTCAAGGAGAGTCCAAATTAACCAGCAAGTTGAATAATTTGTTGTGTAGATTACGTTGTTTCCTATCTTATCTTGTGATTTCTGTAACTTGTCAAAGCAGCTTGTTGCAGTTCTGGAATTAGTCTTAAACTTTTTGAATAGTTTTCTTTAAATATTCTGACAAAAGAATACAAGTTACTAAAAGCATAAGATTAGAGTTCTACAAGATTAGAAATATAAGAGTAATATCCAAAAACCTCCTTACTTTTGGAGCTGACACAAAATTTTCAAAGCTATTCTTTTCCCAGGAGTTTTAATGCTACCTTTCAACCAGATAATTTACTCCTAATGTCACATCCATGCACATGTATAAACCAGAAAATCTGAGATTTTACGTCAGGAGTCAACTCATGTATGACTGAAAAGATGAACAATGTCAAGTAATAGAAATCTGCAGCTGTGGAGTGCTAAAAAACCATGATAGGTATAGCCACTCCTAGACTGAGAAAACCGATATTGGGTGCTTTTCTTAAATTCTTTCATTCTGTCCTATACACACACACAACATAATGTACATTTACATTTGGAAATGCACAACATCAGTACCTAGTTCTGCCATTAACAGATGCATCGCTTTAAGAACTACTTCAAAAAAAATTGACAATAGCAGCACATATGGATTCAGGTAGAACTTCATAAATGTATAGCTGACGATTAATCTGGTCTTCACAAACAAAACCCAAAATACAATGGGTCGTAAGGCAGAATATCAAGCAGCATAAACCTCACAGGATGTTAACAAGTAAGCGCATACCACCAGACAAGTCATACCAGTTGCAAAAGAACAAGAACCACCACCTCCCCCACCCAATGAAGAAAAAGAAAAAGCCCATCCTATTCACAATATGCCAAATGCTGCTTAATCCCATTCTTTCTTCCTATCAGACACAATTTCACAAGTCTCAGAGTTTTTGTTGAATGAAAAAATCCCATGGAAACATTTCTAATGAATACTTAGAAAAGCTCTATATCTCCACCAAAAGTCTTCTTTGATCAAATATTTTCAATTTTTCCAACAAAATCAACTAACCTAAGTTCCTATTCATCCTTTATAAAGATCATGATATCTGTCTTCCTATGATGTTTAAAGAAGCCTACTTAAATAGCCTCTGGCAGAACAAACTCAAACTCCTCCATCCCTCTGAGGTTGTTCCCAATCACATAAATGATTACAAAAATTAGTTAGTGCAAAAGAATCTGAAATTAATTCTACAACCAAACAGATAATCATGAGTTACTAGATGAAAGATATGCAGTTCAAGATTAGGAGTCGCATGAAGTAAGCTTGGGGATGTCTTCCACAAATAGGCATGTACATAAAGATAATAATGAGTTCCAAGGAACAGAATGGTCAATATTTTGGACATAAAGATAATAATGAGTTCCAAGGGACAGCATGGTCAATATTTTTAAAAGTCAGTAACTTAGAGAGTAATGAGGTACCTTCATACAGCGGAGAAGAAGACAAACAATTGACTGCTTACAATTATGAAGTCCTATACTCATGTAACTTGAATGAGAAGCTTCAAATTGAGGAAGGCAAAGTAAAAGGAAGAAATGCATGCTTGTCAACTGAAAAATCTCAAAGTGTAGGTACATAAACCTATATGTCCAAATCATTGTCCATTTCCCAAGTGCAATATAATATCTTTCACCATATTTCCATACTACAATTTATCCCCAACCATCATATCCCATTAAACAAAACTTCTAGTTAATGAATTTAACAACGAACTAATCACTCCAACCAAAAGAAATTGTAGTCATAACGGATCCCAATCACCTGTTTAGCCATATTCCGATCTAGTCAAGCAATTGTTGGTTAATTAATCAGGTCTTCCCCGAGAAGAACCTGAGAGAAACCGGCATTCTCTTGAAAACTTGCTGACATTTCTACGGCAGGGGTCATCAAAATCAAATTAAAAAAAGGAGTAATTGACTGATTCAGAAAAACTTTTAAGCTGAAGGTTCTCATAAAGACTGCAAATCTACTCAGCTTTTACCCTTTCCCAGCGCATTAATACTAAAATTTAGACTACAATCCAATTACACAGAAAATTTGGCTCAAAGATGTTATATCCATGAAGCCAAAATTTCTTATTCTACAGCTGAATTATATATTTATCAGTTTGCCACTAAAGAATACGCTAAGGAGATAGGTTCAGCAACTGTCGGAATTTTGGGCACGTTATATGATCCCATTTCTTTTTTAATACAATCTGACAATCATCTGAGCACTTCTTGAATGACAATATCCTCTCACAATCTTCTGGTACACACTTCCAATCCTCTCTAGCCTCTCTTTCGAGAGCCATCTTCTTCAATGATTTTCCGTTCTTCAAAAAATACTCTATCAGCTTGAATTCATGTTCTTCCCCTCTAAAATTAGTCATTTCAATTACCTTAAGATGTCCAATAAAAGTTAGTGGAAGTGCCTGCAGAAAAACAGAACCAAATTCCTCGTCTTCGCCAAAGTAGTTCTTGAACACCTGTTCATATTAAGTATATAAGGGACTGCAAAGTACAAAGCAATTAACTCTGAAATTAAAGTGGCCAACACAACTTACCTCACTGAAGATAAGCACTTCAAGTTTAGGGGAACTTTCAAATAAGTTTGATAACACCTGTAAGATGCAGCTACGAGGAAAATAATAGCAATAGACAGGTATAAGCTCCAGCTTGATCAAATTTCTGAAAGTTGGCAATGCCGGTTGAGAGAAATAGAGAGCCTTCATGCATATAAGAAGAAGAATTATGTAAGAACAAAGTTCCAATTCTTCTATTAAAATTTGAAGAAGAAGCTCAGAAGTCAATCGAAATTAAAGAAGACAGAAAAGAAAAACATACCTTCAGAATGTTCTCTGACAAAGTCAGTGATTTCACATTTTGCAACCCACTAATAAACTTAAAAGCATGCTGAACACGTAAAAATAAGTCACTGTCATTTGTCACATTATGCAGAAATTCGGCTCGTACTACTGCCTTGTCAATAGATACTAGACTTTGATTTATGTGTACTTCAAGTACATCACCCTCAACAGTCAGGGACTTCAGATTTGGGGCATCTATGGTAACTTTGTGCTGCCCCTTGAGGGAGCATACCAAAGACTCGAGATTTTCTGACTGCACAACAACAGTGAACTCTAATTCAACTTTTGCATTCCAACAGAGCACCAGGCTCTTCAATGAGGGACTCGAGATATGAAGAACTTCAACTTCAATGCCTTCTTCACTCTCACTCTCATAGCTGAATGATTGCACAAATAACATCAGTTGTTCAAGTAAAGGGCAACCTTGAAGAAGCCTCTGAATAGAATCTTCATCTACCAATCTGAATTCAAATAAGTAAAGATACTTGAGGTTTGGCAACCAAACAAAATCAGGGACATTCCAATCCACCTCAAAGCTCAATGTTAAAGAAACCAGAGTTTTAGATGAAAAAATTCCAGGTGGAATAGGTATAGAAAATCGCTCAGTTGTTTTATCGATTCGAACCGAAATAAGGAGTTGTTGGACATTGCAAGAAGAAAGTGCAGCAGCGGCAGATACCAACAATGACTCAAAAGCCAGGCGGTAACTTTTAACAAAATGCATCACAGAGACTTCAATCTTTCCAATTGAAGCCTTATTCCGCTGTCGAACCACTCTATTGGCAAAATCTATAAAATCAAAGAACATCCTATCACGGTCAGAAGCATCACTATCCACACGGAAACTTAGATTAACATCAGGAAGAGAAACAAAAAGATCTCTCCATCTAGTGGACAGAACTGAGGTTGCTGCAGCATCTTTTGTCCTGAAACGCGAAAGGATGCGAAGCAGAACACAGTTCGGAAGTGCACTCAACCTGTCGATATTATCACCATCTGGGATTCTTTTAAGCATCTTCTTTTCTGGAGGATCAGCCATAAGTACTTTTCTTTATTTCAATCTTTCAGTACATAAACAGCAGGTCTCGAGATACTGTGAAATCAACAAGCCTAAATATAAAAGGGATTTCTGCTTTTTGGCAGACAACTATGGGCATCGAAGGTATTCCATGTATAATCGCATAATAGACTTGTAAAAAGATACTAACGAAGCATTCCCAAATAAAGAAAACATGAGAAGAAACATCAACAAAGAACCTGGTTTTCTGAAGACTAAAACCATCAACGACGAACAAGAACCTGCATTTTTAGGTGGGAATTTTGCAGTTAAGCAGCTGATGAAATTCCATCTTATACTCTTCTACTCGAAGATGAGATACTCTTCTCCTCGAAGCTGAGAAATGTTCTTGCTCCAAAAGCCTTGCTGCTGTAAACCCCAACATTTCTGATTTCCCCAATCAAGAGAAGTTTTAAACGCACCTACCGAAGAAGGGAGTTTTAAGGGCCGTTTGGGGAAAAGGGAGTACAGTAGTATTTAGCGTACTAGGCATATGTAGCATGTGGTGAAGCTCGAGGGTGCTTTGCTTATCTTCTCCTCCCATGACACGATATCGAACCTATTTTACACATGCTCTTAAGGCGGATCCAAAGGAAAAAAAATAGAGGTGATTGAACTGTCATCGAGCTAAATGAATGTATATATTTACTCCTACTTTACATTAGTAAAATGGGTCAAAGGAGGAACCCAGAGGGGTTAGCAGTACTTTACACCGGGGACAGGTGGATCTAAAGGGGTCAAAAGCAAACTTGAAGGGGATTAAATTGACACCGAATCAGATAGGTGCCCATGCATCTGCTGCCTGTTGGTGAAATTTTCAAGAAAATTTGGACAAGAATGCAAGTTAAGGAATTTGATCTTTTGACCTATATCCAAAAAGGGAAACCTGAAGGGGATTGGCAGCACTTTATACTAGGGGAAAGGGATGGATCCCAAAGGATCAAAGGAAACTTGGACGAAGTTGAACAGCTATCGAACTAGATGGGTGTCTATGCACTTGCGAGTGAAATTTTCAAAAAATCCTAGACAAAAATACAAGTCAAGAAATGTGATTTATTGACTTGTACCAAAAAGTTCACCATGGTGGCCAACTACTTTAGAAGTACTGAAGTAGTTGGTCTCAAGGGTGCGTGTAGAATTCAGAGCAATGCGAAGAATGAGTCGAATCATGGCAAATGCTCACAATTCAAAATTTAATCGTTTAATTGTTGCAACAAATTTGAAATTATGTTCCAGTTTGATTTTCTTTTTTCAATGAACTGAACTGAAATGAACTAAGCTCAAATGATTGTTATCATCGAACTAAATTTGAGTAGAGCTCAAGTAATTTAAAATTTTTAAATATAAATAGTAAATTACATGCTATTTTCTTCAGCCAAGATCAAGATTAGTTTAATATTTTATATAAAAAAAAGACTATTCAAGTTTTACTTAATTAGTTGAAAAACTAACTAAGCTTAAAGTTTTTAGATTACAAAAGACTACTAAAGATTTACTGGATTAGTTGACGAACTAAATAGACCGTGAACTTACCAAGTTCAATTTTATTATATCTTTCAACCCTATCAATAATTTTTCAACACTCAAATCTTTGACCAATCTGGATTCTTGTCATCTACTTCCACAATAAGCACAGCTGGCAACTTGTTTGTTCATTTACAATATATGCAATAAGACCTAGGCTCGATTGACTACTTTTATCCTTTTTTTTTTGTTGCCAAAGATAAGAATATGCCACAATCTTCACATAATGATACAATCCTCAGCGAAGTATACTCTAAAACTGAAATCTACAAGTTCCTAAGATTTGAATCTTACATTTATACTTCATCAAAGACTCATTGCCATTTTGGATTATGTGTCTCCAGATTGCTACTTCAATCTTAGGTTAGCTTTAAATAACTGGTAATATAACAGTATTACCACCTCAAAATCTTCTTGCAGAGTACAATATCTGTGATCATTTCACCTTCACAACTGTAAGAACATATCTAATCCTCCTCAATATGCTCCTGCAGTTTCATGCAGTCCTGAACCAGACCTTTCTGCATGGGCTGAGCCCTGCCTCAATCTTAAAAGGAGTTCACTTAACCAGCAAGTTGACTAATTGGTAGAAAGGATTGCAATGATTTCACAGCATTGTCTTGTGAAAGGTACAGAGAGAGAGAGAGAGAGAGAGAGAGAGATTTGGAAGTACTGCAAACTGCAGTGAACCTATGGTAAAAAAGGCTAAAATCTCATAATAACTTAACATTATGAAGCATGAGCATTTTTTGCATCATTTTGCTAGCATGGGCAATGAAATTGCGAGAAAAAAGAGCAACAGACTGATTTAGCAATACTTCCAAAGTGAAGGTCCTACTTGAGACCTTATATTTCCCCAGCTATTATTCTTTTCATTGGCACTTTAACACTAACTTTCAAAGTATAGTTCTATTAAGCAATAAATATTTTGCTACAAGATGTTAGTTATCAAGCCATAAATTTCTAGCTCTAAAACTGAATGATGTGATCATCATGGCACCAACAGCATCAAGAATGCCACAAGATGAACTTAACAAACAAGTTCTTAAACTATTTTTACATACGCATGAAATTATTGTAAGTTTTAGTTGGGTCTTGACCAACAAAAATAAAAAAACACTGGTCATAAGGGGGAAAAAAGAAAAGAACAGGAAGAATATAAACGACAGCATCATTACAGGAAGAGTTTCAGTGCATCCCGTTTCGTTATGAACAGAATCTGGCAATCCTCCGCACACTTCTTGGATGACAATATCCTGTGACAACCATCTGATTCAGTCTTCCAACTGTCTCTAATGAGAGTCATCTTCTTTAAAGATATTCCATTCTTCAAAAAATACTCTATCAGCTTGAATTCATGTTCCTCCCCCTCAAAACTTCTGATTTCTATTTCCTTAAGTTGTCCGACAAGAGCTAATGAGAGAGCCTCTTGAAAAACAGAATCAAGTTCCCCGTCTTCACTGTCCTTGATGACCTGTCCATTCCTAGTAGATCAGAGGCAGCAAAATATGATAGAATTAACTATGCAACAAAATTGTCCATCACAACTTACTTCATCAATGATAAGCACTTCAAGGTTGAGGGAACTTTCAAACAAGCTTGACAACACTTTAGAATAAAGATTGCGAGGAAATGCATTGCAACGAAAATGACTGAGCTTCAATTTGTTCAAGTATTTGAATTTTGGCAAGACCCCTTGAGAAAAATACAGAGCCTTCATGCATATAAGTAGAATTAAGTAAGAACGAAGTTCCAATTTTCCTATTATAGGTGGAAGATAAAGCTCTGAAATGAAGTCAAACTAAAAAAGAAAGAAAAGAAGAAACATACCTGGAGAGTCGTCTGTGATAAATAAAGTGATTTCACATTTACCATCCCACTAAGAAACTTAAAAGCACGCTGACTATGTAAAAATAAGTCACTGTGATTTGTCACATTAGACAGAAATTCAGCTCGTACTACTGCCTCGTCAATAGATACCAGACTTTGATTTATGTGTACATCAGGTACATGACCCTCAACAGTCAGCGACTTCAGATTTGGGGCATCTATGGTAACTTTGTGCTGCCCCTGGAGGAAGCATACCAAAGACTCGAGATTTTCCGACTTCACAACAACAGTGAACTCTAATTCAACTTTTGCATTCCAAAAGAGCACCAGGCTTTTCAACGAGGGGCTCGAGATATGAAGAACTTCAACTTCAATGCTTTCTTCACTCTTGCTATCATAGCTGAAAGGATGCACCTTTAATATCAGACGTTCAAGCAAAGGGCAACCTTGAAGAAGCCTCTGAATAGAATCTTCATCTACCAATCTGAATTGAAATAAGTAGAGACGCTTGAGGTTTGGCAACCAAACAAAATCGGGAACATTCCAATCCACCTCAAAGTTTACTGATAAACAAACCAGAGTTTTAGATGAAAAAATTCCAGGTGGAATAGGTATAGAAAATCGCTCAGTCGTTTTATCCATTCGAACCGAAATAAAGAGTCGTTGGACATTGCAAGAAGAAAGTGCAGCAGCTGCAGATATCAACAATGACTCAAAAGCTAGGTGGTAACTTTTAACAAAATGCATCACATCGACTACAAGCGTTCTAATTGGAGCCTTATTTCGCTGTCGAATCACTCTATTGGCAAAATCTATAAAATCAGAGAACAATTTATCACGGCCAGAACCATCACTATCCACACAGTAAATTAGACGAACATCAGGAAGAGAAACGAAAAGATCTCTCCATCTAGTGGACAGAATTGAGGTTGCTGCAGCAGCTTTTGTCTTGAAACGCGAAAGGATGTGAAGCAGAACACAGTTCGGAAGTTCACTCAACCTGTCGATATTATCACCATCTGGGATTCTTTCAAGCATATTCTTTTCTGCAGGATCAGCCATCAGTACTTTTCTTTAACACGTACTACTATCAACTATGTAACACGTGTTGTGAAACTAATAAAAGATACTCCCAAAAGTAGGGATTGGAATAGTAGAGTAAGAAGAAGAGATATTATTATATTTACTAATCAAAGTACTTCCAGGTTTCAAGATTTCCCCATGTTACAAAAGAAGTAGGATTCACCCCTATAAATAGGTGATCCAAGATCAAAGGTAAATGAACTCTATTAAATACAAATACATGAATTTAGTACATCAAGTACATCCATAAATGAGTTCATCCAATATACCAATGAATCTAGGGAGAATACATGAGACTATCATCTTGAGAATACAAACGGACATCTTCATCTTGTAATCCTTCTTGAGAATATCAACGGACAGCCACATCTAGAGAATATCAACGGATATCCACATCTTATCATTATTTCATAACAATACGTGGTATTTTGGGACAATTTCAAAACCGCCACTGTAGTTTCTGACAGTTGTATTGACCTGTTTCCAGGTTTTAAAAATTTTACTTGTCAGAGACTTAAGCCCAATGCTTACAAAATATTGACAATTATGTGGAATTAATCAATTAAAATCACTAGTTAACCAAATTAAAAAAATAAACACAATTTTGAACTTAAAAAATATATAACTTGCCATGAGAAAAGATCGACAATTCTAGGTGCACTTTTCTGATTGATAGGCTTGATAAAAAGCTCAATTAAATAAGACTTGAGAGGCAAAGAAATAGACATATAGACATTTTTTTTTGGAGAGAATAGAGCTTGAACTTGAATGATTGTGTAGCTAAGGGTGTGAGCAAGCTTGCTCTCTAATTCCTATCAACAATCCGCTGATTGTGAGCATCTTAATTTAAGGGGAGAGGAAAGACTTTTTTGATGTTCAAGTTTGGATTTGTTGTTACTAGTTGCATATTTCTTAATTTATTTTCTTGATCATGCCAAAAAATAGCCCTGCCCCTTGGTGTACGAGTTGATTGCTACATCAATAAAATTCTTTTGTTTAAAAAAATAATGGCCTTGCAAGTGAAAATAATAGGTCCAATCATGCATAAATTGAATTTCATGGCTTGCGATTACATATTTTATACTCTTGTTGCTTTTGTATAAGCGTTCATAGACATAGTCGTTGCAAAGAGTAGTTGCGAATAGTTGGAGAAGTTGATGTCTTGCATTTGCTAACATTTGCACTTATAACCCTCGCCTGTGATTTTGTTAAATTAGTAATTTATGCTTTTATACCAAATTAACTAACTAATGTAACATATGAGGGGCATTCGTGGAACCGCATTTCTTCTTTTGCCTAAAACCAATTTGTTATTTTTTTGGAATCAGTTGACTTGTTACAAGCTAATTAGTTTTAGGTAAGGCATCTAAAAGTTTTGAAACTTTGGGGGAATTCAGGGCAATTGTCAAAAACCTGGGGAGAAGCTTCTAAAATTATCCCTAGTATTGTAGTGAACCTTAAGGGAACATATAAGGTGCAGAATTTAGTGTGCATTGTGAAAAATTAGAGATGTAAATGAGTCAAATCGTGCCAAATGCGCTCACAATTCGAACTTATAATCATAGTTGATTGTTGTAACCGATTTGAAATTGCATTTGAATTTGATTTGCCTTTTTTAGGGAATTGAGACAGAATTAAATCGAACTAAAAATGATTTGTTATTGAATTAAGTTTGAGTAGAGGTCAAGTAATTTAAAATTTTAAAATGTGAATAGTATATTTCATGCTATTTTCTTGAAGATTGAGATGAGTTTAATAAGATACCGTGATGAACCAAACTATGATGAGTAGCATTATCCCTTTTCTTATTCTTTGCATTGTACTTCACACCCATATTATATTCAGGCACAATTTCATTATTTCCCAATATCACATTTGTTTTGGCAATGGTCTCCCTTTTATTTTAAACACTTTTTTCTTTTTAGCGTAAATGAGAAGTCTCAAACTCGGGACTCCTCACTTATATTCCCACTTTCTGTATCATCTAACCTATTCATTATTTGTTTTTTGTCAATATAAAGATAACGATATTGGTTATCATATACCTTAGCTGTAAATCAAGAAACTCATCGGATGTTTCACCATAACATTTTGGAGCGTACCCTATTTTTTTTGCCATTGTTGGTGGGTTGGAAAAGATAAATCGGTTGTTCTTTCGACAAATCATTACCAGAACATTTGTATGGTAAGAAATGTCCTTGGTTGGTGAAAGAAGATGGTTTCTACCTTGGTAATTGGTATCCCTGAAAGTTATCTTAAAGTGTTTTCTAACATTTGGATTGTTGTATTCATAACCTTCCTTCAGTAGTTATTTTGCATTTATGTCACAGCTGTTTTCACAATCTCATATGAGCTGACATAGACATATATACACACACCAAATTTGTCGCTTCTTAAGTTGCCAAAATGACTCAATTTCATTCAAGGTTGCTCTTGTGTGTGTGTGTGTGTGTATATCTAGACATTTCAACTAAAATCGTAAGTTACCATGATGAACCAAACTATGGTGAATAGGATTTTCTTTTTGCTTATTCTATCATTGTATTTTGTGCCCATATGTCGAGCTGCCATTTCATTATTTCCCAAGCTTCATGTTTATGTTGGCAATGGTCTTCCAAACGATACCAATCTTTTAACCGTCCACTGTCAATCTCAAGATGATGATGTTGGTTGTCATACCTTAGCTGTAGGTGAGGAAATACAGTGGTCATTTCACCAGAACCTAATCCAAAGCACATTATATTTTGGCCATTTTTGGTGGGCTGGAAAAGATAAATAAATTGTTGTTTTTGACAAATCATTACATGAGCATTTGTGTGGTAAGGTATGTCCTTGGCTGGTGAAAGAAGATGGTTTCTACCTTAGCATGGTCGGAGGTTATCTTCGCTTACATACTTGGTGATATGAGTAATTCCAAAGATAGTATTTAAGTATATATATTGCATCTTTTATCTTATTGATTTCTTTCTTGATGTTATTTCATATTATTTTTGCCTTGTTTCATCCTGCTTATTCGCTCAAAGAAAACTATTCAGCTTAAATATGTAAAACTCTGTCAAAAAGTTGATCTCAAAGGAAGAATGAATTGACAAATGAAACTTTTAGCTATGTCTGTGGCTACTTTTGCCATTTTTATTTACCAAAAGGTAAAAAAGAAAAAAAAAACACTTTGCCTGAGTAGAATTTGTGAAGACGAAAATTTGAATGCCCACCTGTGTATTAAGATGATTTCAAGTTAATTCTGGAAGTGAAATTGAACCCAAAGCACAATTAGAGACTATTGTTCTGATATTAATTGACTTTGGAAAAGCATCAGCTATGGCACCCAAATGAACTATTTCAGTTGCATCTATCACTATAAAAAATAAATGAAGCACGAAAGATGCAGACATTAAACTTTTGGATTCCCTTATTTCAGTTATATGTATAGTATCTGTTTTCGTTCTGATTCTTCTAAGGTTCGAACGCAATCCTGCAATGTTCAGAAGATTTCTTGAATGATGATATCCGGTTGTAAACTTCAGGACTAGACTCCCAACCCTTTATACTTCCACGAATAGTCATCTTCTTTAAAGATTTCCCAATCTCCAGAAAATATTCAGCTAGCTTGAAACCAAATTCCTGATCATGCCCTAAGATTATTTTCAGCTCCTTGAGATGTCGAATGGGGCGTGCTGGAAAGGCCGTTCGCAGAAATATCCCGAGTTGTTCTACACCGAAATTGTGGTCGAATACCTGTACATTTTGCAAACATTAGGAACTGCACAAGACTGTGTTATGAACTACTTGTAAGATGAAGAAATTGAAGAGCAAACTTAATTGACTCACAGACGAAAGATGAAAGAAACTCACTGAGGAAACGATATCGAGGGCTTCGAGATTAGGGGCGTTTTCCAGTAATCTTGCTATTAGGTTCAACCACCAGCTACTGTAATGGTAGCTGTAAATAGAGTCATCAAGCGCCAAACTGCTCAAATTTACAAAAGTAGGCAAGAATTCTCCAGCATAATAGAGAATCTGCAACCAAATGAGATGAAGAATCAAACAATATCCCAAACCACAAACTTAAACTTTTATGGATTGCTCTATTCAGCCGGCAGAATACTCAGGATAAGGCTGAGTTCAAGACATATTTTGTATCCATAAGTTTAAATTTACAATGTTAAACCCCTAGGTGAGGCAACAATTTTTGTCTGGGGCAGGTTCAGTTGTGATTTTAGCGCTAGTTGTAATGTTTTCATATGTTTTTTACATGATTTGTAACGTAATTATACCAGCTTACAGAATAGAAAAAACTTAATCCTTTCATCACATAAAGACAAGGCTACTTTTATTTTCACACAGATTAAGAAGGGTTAATTAATATAGTTAAATCAATTATTTTTACTAATCACTTTCTTCATATGGCCTCCTTTAATACTAGATAATTACTCAAAGTAAATGACTCATATTACTAAATCATTCTTGAAACTTGTTATTTTTTTTTTAGTTTTTCAATGCATGGCTTTACCTAATCAGAGTTACAAATTCGACTAAAACATTTTAGTAACAATGTAGGCATATTAGTAAATCGACAAAATAACAATCCTTCCAAAAGGAAATCAGCCCGTCATTTGAATAAATATATATAAACAAAAGTGAGACTATCTTTATAGAATAGGATATGGATAGGATAGAATACTGATACTCCGGTCGGAACGAAAAAAAAAAACTGCTTTAGCAGAAGGTTAACTGGACATACCTTCATACCCGACTGGAATCGAAGTGATTTCGCATATTGCAAACCATTGACAAGCTCAAAAGCTTCGAGTGATTTCAAATTTTGCCTATGATACAACACGAGGGTACTTTCAAATTCTTCTTTTCTATACTTGAATGCTACTGTCGCATTCAGAATGTTCCTCACATCCTGAACAAATTCTACTCTCACGGGAGGACCTTGACACTTGAAATACTTGAGATATGGGGCATTTATAACAAGTTTATGCACTCCATATACATTGCAGTCCAGATATTCAAGATTGTCAGACTCCACCATTAGAGAATACTGACCAAAGTAACATGAAAGTGCAAGTCTTTTCAATAAAGGAGCAGAAATACGGAGATCCATAAACTCAAATTTCCAAAATCTCCATCTTAAACCCAAATCTTCGAGCAAGGGGCAAGCCTGAATAACCCGCGCGAAGGAATCTTGATCTGTTAATGCAAATTCATTCAAGCGCAGGACCTTAAGATTTGGTAAAGAAACTGAATCGGGAGGATTGAAATTAAAACTACTTTTCATCGTCATCGTCAGAGAAGTTAGTGTTGCACATGTGAATATCTCAGGTGGATACAAAAGTAATCCGGTGGAATCTCGATCTCCTGGCACACAAATATCAACTTCTTGGACTTGACGCGAAAGCACTTTCGATATCAACCAGTAAATCCCTGGACGAAGATCTTCAACCAAGGGCGGCGACACATTAAGTTGAAATTTTCTAATTGGAGCTTTGTTTCGTAGAAAAATCAATCTAGATAGGAATTTCTGAAAATTACACAAATCCCTTCTGCGCTCCTCCCCGATCTTGGCATCCCAATTCTTAGAGATTGTGAGATCAATAACAGGAAGTGAGGTAAAGAGATCTTTCCATCTGGTTGACAGGACTGATGTGGCTGCGGCGGTTTCTGAAGGGAGAAAGGACAGGATGTGGCAGAGAATCTCGTCCGGGAGGGCACTTAACTTGTCACTTTCATCATCTTTGGGGGTTTTAGTTTTTAAAGCCCTAGGACTTCGAGGATCATGAGCCATTGTTGGGGATGGTTTCTTCAACTGATTACCTGCTGTCAAGTTTTCAACGTCTGAACACTGAGCCACGAGCCAGAAGGGTTGTGATTTTTTCCAGGCAAAAAAGGATCTCTTCTGAGGGGAAGAATCTGGGCAAAAACTAGAAAAGACGAATCTAACTTCAAAGAGTGGCTTAAAAAAAATTCAAAGAGTAAGGGAGTAATATACTCGGATAACCTTCAACTTTTATGAGTTTGATTCTAAAAGGCTTAAAACCAAGACCATCAGGTTAATGCGCAGTAACCCTAAATCTCTCAAGGATGAAGCGTTGTTTGATTCTACAAATTAAAGGGTTGAAAGTTAAAAACAAGAGGTTCCTTTTCTGTTTTTCTTTTAATTTCCACAAATTTAAAGGTTTCCCTTTTTTATTTGGGCTAATTCCACTTTGCACTTGTGAACCTCCGTCATTTTTTCACTTTGCACTCTGAACTCTCAACTTTGAACACTTTGCACCCTAAACTCTTAAATTTGTCCCATTTAAATCCAATTAATGACAATTTTAGTAAAATTACTGGCATAAACGACCCAACAAATTAATAAAAATGTGCCAAATGTGGTAAAAATAATATATTGTCATTAATTTGCATCATCTTTAATTTGTCTCATTAATTTTATTAACAATATTAGTGATTGAATCTATATAAATCAATGACAATGTGTCAAAAGTAATAAAAAAAAATTTTAAGGAATCATAGTTAAAATAAAAACAATACATTGTCATTAATTTTCATCATTCTTTTCTCATTAATTTTACGAACGTAATTATTGATGAAATATAAATGGGAACTTGAGAATTTTGGGTGCAGAGTATCCGAAATTAAAAATTTAGGATACAAAGTGGTCGAAATTGAAGTTTAGGATCCAACATAAAATAGAAATACAAGTTTAGAGGTACAAAATGGAGTTAGTCCTTCCTGTTTCCAGTTTTCCAAAGATTGCTCTTAAGGAATGGGAGGGACTGTGATTTTTAGGCTTGTTTCTTCCTCAATCTTCTAAAACTAGGATTAATTATATTTACTTTTCTTGAGATCTAGTCAACATACTGATTAGACCTTGTGATTTGATCAAATTACAAACTCTCTTTTTGAATTAGCAAACATTTAACTAATGAACCCCTGCTATTAATGATGTAAGCAAAAAGTAAAGGTAAAAGGTCCAAAATGCCATTGTAATTGGGAATGTTAGCAAATTAAAAATCCTCCCATCAACCCCACAGTAGCTGCTGCCTGCTGCGCTGCTCCCACCACCACACCACCATTTGTACTTAAATAACCCACTTCTCTCTACTTACCCCTTTCCAGACAATCAATTCACACCATCGACAACTATATCAGAGCATATAAGCCCCGTTTGATAACTCAATTCAGCACTTAAATTTAATGGATTCAAATTTTAACATATTCAAACAGTTTGATAATAAAAAATTGAACATTTGAATTAATTAAGTGACACTGAATTTTCTAAGCAACACTTACTCCTAAAATTAAGTGATAAGATATTCACTTATTACTAAATGTGATATGCACTCAAATGTATTAGATTTAATACTTAACAATTCAATAACTTAATGGATTCAGATTTCAGATTTCGATTTTTAGATTTCAATTATATCAAATGCACCCATAGTAAAGCTGAATAATTTCAATTCCAAAAAATCAAATCACTATTATATGATAAAAAAATAAAACAACAAAACACACAAACAAATTTATTATTAATGAGCAATATTGAATTTTCAGTCCAATGATTAGGGAAGGACTCTTAAGAGTCTTCTCAACTATCAAATTCAGGGTTCAAATCCTGTGCTAATAATTGATGGTAGGAAGGATTTAGGGAGGGGAGAAAGGGTGCAAAAAATTAAAAAAAGAAAAGAAAGAAATTTGGCTCATAGTACCATACTACCACCTGCACTTTTCCTTATCATTTGTCCCAAACTATCAACCACCTAATTTACTCTCTCACTCTCTCTTGGACCAATAACTCACAGTCCAATGTGAACTCCTGTTTAATAACGCGACTGCATTTATAGTTGTTTAAGAAGCTTATTTTAGTTTTAAGCTGTGTTTTAAAACTCGGACCGGACCGGCCGGTTAGACCGGTCGGACCGGGAACCGGCCAAATGTCCGGTCCAAGTCATGCTTAAAAACCGAGCAAGTAAAAACCCGGTCAAATCCGGTCAAAAATCGGGTTTGACCGGGAAAAAACCGGATTTTTCGGTTCAAACAGTTTTTTTAAAAAAAAAACTCAAACTTTTTTAATATTATGTTTTGACCCCTAGATTGTTAAAAATTATTAATATACCTCAAATATTTCATACTTTATCAATATTTTCTTAAAGTTTGGTATTATTTTTCAATTAAGTCCATAATTTTAATTCTAAACTTGTTAATGCTTATTAAATAATATAAATTGTTACTTGATTGTTCTAATTTCTTTGTATTTTCTTGTTAAATATATTTAAAACATCAAATATATATGAATATACCTTTATTAATATTAACATGTTATTAGGTATTTTACATATAATATTTTAATTTTTAAATAATTTTTATTTATGACGTCATCCGGTTCAACCCCTATCGAATCCGGTTGAACCCATTGACCCCTGACCCTTGAGCTTGACCAAGTCGATACCCGGTCCGGTTTTGAAAACATAGGTTTTAAGAACCCGCTTCCAAAACTAAAGATATCGTCCCTTAATCTAAAATTCATCGATTAAGGTAATATTATCCACATTAATGAGTACGCATTGAGTATCAGACCATTCCAAGAAAATCAATGATTACATTTTAAACAAGTAAAAATTCCTATAGGATATTCCACACTAACATTTGGGTAGTTGTTTTGCATTTCTATCGGAGTAGTTTTCAATCTCACTACGATTTGTCATTAATACATTGAATACGCCAAACTTGTCTCAAGTTGCCAAGAGACTCGACTTTGTTCACCTGTATGGACTTATACATGCATACTTGTGTCAAGTTGCCAAAATTCATGCTTCTGTTGGCAATCATCTTCTTGATAATACCAATCCATTAACTGTTCATTGTAAATCTAAAGATAATGATATGTGTTTGGATAGAGTATTATTTGAAATATTATTTGGAATAATTATTATAGTACTTTTTGTGATGTGATGTATGGAGTAGTTGAGAATATAAAAAGGTGGATTAAGAAATGTGTTTATGATTCAAGCAAAATATTATGTGAAATAATTCAGCAATCCAAGCGAAATATTGGTTCTCATACCTTAGCTGTAAACGAGGAAATACAATGGTCATTTCGCTTGAACTTTGGTGAAAGTACATTATTTTTTTGCCAGTTTTGGTGGGCTGGAAAAATTCAATTGATGTTTTCAACAAATTATTGTATGAGCTGTTTGATAAGGTATGCTCTTGGTTGGTGAAAGAAGATGGTTTCTATATTTTTGAAGGTGAAAATCTTCTTCACTTGCATACTTGGTCATGTGTGTGATAGCAAATGATTCTGCTGTATGTACACAACAATATTCAAGCAGATTGCATCTTTTATTTATTTACTTTTTGGATTTCCTCCTTGATGTTATTCCTGTTGAATTCAAAGCCAAGCCTCAATTGATGACTTTTTCAAGCCAAAATTGAGGACTTTGAATTCTTTGGCCTAAGTTTCTAAATCCCACATCGGTTAAGTTTAACATTTGAGAGGTTGTTTGAGAACTATAAATAGCTCTCAAACAAACCAATTCAAGTACACCAAGCAAGAGCCAATAACTTGCTTTCTTCTCTCTCTTTGTAATATTTCTTCTAGTGAAATATTAAATTGTCGGTAGTGTCCGAGGACGTAGGCAAATTAGCCGAACCTCGTTAAATTCTGGTGTTCTATTTTATTGTCTATTTAGTAGCTATATTTGTAGGTATATTTGTAGTGAGTTATTGTGCAATTAAGTGCATATATAGGTGATTCTGTCTAGGAAATTGGTACTTAAGCAGGCCAGTGTGCCTCACCAAATATTTCCTGGGAATTACCATTTTGCAATTTTAGGTACAATAATTTACTCGTTATACCTTAACTTTGGTAGGGCTTCCGCAACAATTGGTATCAGAGCTCGAGGTTTCTTAGTATGCTCTGTGGTTGCAGCATGGTCTGATCTTCCACATCAGAAAAGATTTCTTGGGCTATTGTTACTCTACATTTAGGAGCTACTAAATATAATTTGTAGAGATGGCCGAAAGTAGATCTTCATCTACAATGCAAGCATCAACAAGCTCGTCATTATCTATTATGGCGAGAAATGTTATGACGAATACAAAATTAAATGTGGAGACATTTGATGGTACCGGTCATTTCGGCATGTGGCAAAGTGAGATTCTAGACGCGCTCTTTAATCAAGGTCTAGACATTGCCATCGAAAAAGAGAAACCAGAAGAGATTGAAGAGAAGGAATGGAGGACGCTAAATCGTTTAGCGTGTGGTACAATTCGATCGTGTCTTTCAAGGGAACAAAAATATGTGTTCTCAAAAGAAACCTCTGCAAATAAATTATGGACTGGATTGGAGGAGAAGTTCTTGAAGAAAAATTGTCAGAACAGGCTCAACATGAAGAAGCGTTTATTTCGCTTCACTTATGTTCCTGGCACAACTCTAAGTGATCACATCACTAATTTCAATCAGTTAATCACTGATCTGATGAATTTAGATGTGACATTTGAAGACGAAGATTTGGCTCTCATGTTGTTGGGATCTCTTCCTGAGGAGTTTGAGCATCTTGAAACAACTCTACTCCATGGGAAAGCTGAGGTGTCCCTCAGTGAAGTTAGCTCTGCCCTGTACAGCTATGAGCTCAGAAGAAAAGACAAGCAAAATAGCAGAGATGGAGCAGCAGAAGCTCTGGTAACTAGAGGACGCTCACAAAACCAGAGAAAGGGGACGAGAAGAAGATCCAAGTCAAGAGCCAGACTAAGTAAAGATGAGTGTGCCTTTTGCAG